GATGTAGTGAAAATATAAATACGTAAAAAAGGAAAAACAAAAGGTAAAGCAGAGAGAAAAGGTGGGGGAAAAGAAGAATGTAAGACAAATACTGAGAGATGATCATTTTTTGAACCAGTGATGACCAAGCCATAACATGTGTGTTATAAGTGGCATAAGTGACTGGTATGGTTGGCAAATGAGCCCCAGGTGCCAACTTAGTGGGCATTAGTGATGGGAGTCAGGGCTGCATTTTGGGGCAGGGGATGTGGGATCAAGAATCAGGAGTGAACTGGAACATGTACTGTATCGACTCAAAGCCAAGATTTCTTTGAATTTAAGACACCCCTAATTACTAGATTCTAGACATGGGAAAGTATAAATTTGTTATTTTTCATGTCTAGAATCTAATTATTGGGAGGTTATCTTAAATTTGTGCCCCACCACCATTGTGACGAAGCAAGTAGCAGCAAGGGAGCAAGTGGAAGAGAAAGAAGTGGCTGGGTAAGGCAGCCTGCTGCTGCCCCTTGTCGTCCCCCCCGCCAGTGCCTGCTCCCTGATTTCCTGTTCTTTGTGCCACTTGCCCCATCTGGTGCCTGCCACCTCTTTCCATTTCCCATTGCCTGTTCCCCACCAGCAGTCACCCTCCTTTGTGCCAGCCCCTGATGCTGGCTCCCCTGTCATCTGCCTCTTCTTTCCACCCACCCCTTCCCTACCTCCCAATGCTTGCCTCCTGGCCACATGTCCCCCTCTGGTGCCTGTACCCTGCCACATACCCCTCACTTCATCTGTACTCCCCCTCCATATTGTGCCTTCTACCCTGCCACATGAGCCAACCTTACCAGAGGTAAGCAGCAGCTCCAGCCCTGGCTTCGCTGCTTGCCCTGGGCCTGTGCTTGAATCCCCATGTTGTATGGAGGAAAAACCTGACTTTGAATTTGAGTAAATGTGGTCACTTTCATTTGGATATTTTTAAATTTTAATTGTTTCTTCAGCTTAAGTTTTTAAGCTGAAAAACCTGAATTTTTTCATTTCAGAATGTCAACATGAAACACTTCAACAATTTCTAAACTTTTTTTTTAAAAACCTCACTCAATACATTTGTCAAAACAGTCCCTTTCCTGCAAGAAGATTTGGTTTTGACCCGTGATTTCTGATTAACATTATTTCTGACTCCCAGGCCTGTGCAGTGTCCATTGGGTTGTGCTGCCTTCCGCTTCTAACAGAAAAGGTCAGTGAGTTGGAACATTAGGATCAACACTACTCCTAAAACCTTTTGTAGGAAAAATGGAAAGATTTCTTTTTTTAAAAAATCATTTTCATTTTTTGTCAATTACAAGAAGCAATAATTTTTTTCTAGTCACAGCATGTGGCATTTTTGAAGATGGATGGAACTGCTTTGCCTTTGGCATTTAATCAATCCTAGTCGACTTCAATTGCTTTATATAACAGAATTGTTACAAATCACTTGTAACCTCTTTTTCAAGGCAGTGTTTGTTTTTCTAAATATTTTCCTTCTACCAGTTCAGACAGTATTTCTTCATTGTGTTAGAATGTTCTAGCACTCTCTCGGAAAACTAATGTTTTTATGTTACACAATGCAAGTCAATCATGAGACGAAACTTTAAATTAAGGCTTATTACAGGTCAGGGAAGAAATGGATATAATTTCTCACCTCAAGTACAGTAACATCTCTGTTATCTGGCATCCCCAGGATAAGGGGATTGCTGGTTATGTAAAAATTCTGGTTATCTGAAATAACCCGGCCGGGTTTTCAGATAACACAGAGCAGGAGGCAGGGGGGATGGTGGCAGCTACAAGCGGAGCAGCAGCAGCCACTGTGTGCAAGCTTCCCTCCCCCATCACCCCTCTGTCTCAGCCAGCCAGCTTGAAACTCCAGTTAATAAAGTATTCCAGTTGGTGAAGTACCAGATAACAGAGATTTTACTGTGAATGATTTTTCATTGTTGGAGAAAACAGTAAATTGGGTATTTCCACTATACAGGAAACCATTTTCACTTTGTGTTGTTAGTTTATCTCCCTACTCTTTTCATTATTATGGTTGATATCACTTGATGTGTCTGATTCTAAGGTTAGCTGAAAATCATTTTTTCCATCAATGATTCAAAGAAGTATCAACATTATTTTAGAAGTCTGAATCATATGGTTATTGTTCCACTTCTAAAGTAGTGGGTGAGTTGAAGTATTAATATTCTACTCTCATATGTCTTTGAGGTTTTTTTTAAGTTGGAGCATTTGCCTGAAAAACAGGCTCAGAATGTAATTGAATTTATTACTGTTGAATAAAATAAAATAATATATTGTAGGGCTGTTAAAAAAAATTAAAATGTTTTTATTGCGATTAGTTGAGCAATTAAAAAAAATTGGTTGCAATTAATCACAATTTTAATCGCACAGCTAAAAGCTCAAAATTTGCACATTGTAATGTAATGTGGGTCAGGAGTGATGGGCAGCAGCAGGGTTGGGGGGATGTGGCTTGGGAGTGAGGGGCAAACACAAACGGAGAACACTGCGCTGATAAATCCGTAGAGGTCAGGGGCAGATCAAGGCCCCTATGGTGAGGGAGGGAGTGGGGCAGGGGTAGGCACTGGGGTGAATGGGACCCATGGCCAGCATGGGTCATGGGATGGGACCATGGGTGGCTCATCCAGAGATGCAGAAGGGGGGGCAGGGGAGGTCCCCTGCCACTGTGTGCACCTCGGAGGAGGCATTGAGAACACTTGTCGTTCTTCCCCATCCTGGATTTCTGCATGGGGCAGAGATAGGCTGGGGCTCTGCACCCTGCTTCCTTTGCCCCAAGAGCTGTGTGATGCCATGTTGTGCCTCTTGCCACCATGCGGGCAGGGGATGTGTAGCACAGCCAGTGTACAGCTCCTGGGGCAAAGGCAGCAGGGCGCAGAGCCCCAACCTACAGCAGGCAGCCTGCCTCCACCCCACACACAAATCCAGGGGGGCACATGCCCCCCAAGCCTCCTCCAGGGGGGTGTGCAGCAGCAGGGAGCTGCGTACCCCCTCTGCACCTCTGGATTAGCCTCCAGCAGCTCCATCCCATGACCCGCCCTGGCTCTAGGGCCCCATTCACCCCAGTGCCTGCCCTTGCCCCACTCCCTCCCTCGCCATGGGGGCCTCAATCTGTCTCCACGACGTCTTCCTTCTCCCCCCATCCCTCCCCTCCACAGACTTACCAGTGCACCACTGTTCTACATGCAGCATGCAGGCTGCAGCTGCTCATGTATGTCTGTGTATGTCTCCCTTCCCCACCCCTGGCTGCAGCCACCTGGAGCCTGTGCCCAGGCTGCCCTGCTGTCCTCTGCATTGCCACCGCTGTCCCACTGGGTAACCCAGAGGTGGTGGAGCGGAACCTGGGCACAGGCTCCAAAACCACGTGCTTGATTAACTCATTAAAACCACAAACTCAAGAACCAATGAACGCGTTAATCGCACGCATTAACTGTAATTAATTGGAAGACCTAATATATTGAGATTTACTGTCTTAGGTTATAATTAGGGCCTGGCTTAAATAGTGGGCCCAGCTCATTGTGTGGCAGCTCCTTTAATCTTGGCATTCCCCCCACCATTGACCTCACCACTTATGTCTGTTGGAGGGGAGGCAAATATTGTGGTTTTAAATATGCTGCAGTTTTTGCGTCCCACCACTTGTTGACCGGATGGGGGACACAAACTGTGGCATATTTAAAACTATGATTTTTGCTTCTTGGCCATCAGGAGAGAGCAGCGGGGCTGACAGGCTCCAATCGGGGGGGCGGGGGAGGGGGAGGGGACGATAGTACCACTGGACTCCCCATTTTAGACACTAAAGCAATTCTGTGACATCAGGGTGTGGCAGGCAAGTGTAGAGGGGAGAAGATCATAAAGGGACTGGAGAGTGCAGGATTAGCCTACAGGTAAGGACCTCGAAGTCGTCCTTCAAATGAGTCCTGTCAGAGCAAACAAGCTTTAAAAATTGAAGTGTGCAGAGCTGTTTCTTCATTAATTTTCCTATTGCATAATAATGCCTAAACAAAAGTAATAGCATATGATTTGCAAGTATTGCAATTCTCCTTTTATTTATCAAGTTCTCTTCCCAATCCTATACGCTTATCCACTTCCCCAAATCAGTACCCCGTATTCCACCTTGCTTCCAATCTCTGTCCACAAACTCACCAGTATTCTATTATGCTTAAACTCCAATAGCCAGCTGGTTATTACCTATGAATAGTAAGGCAGATGGCCAGTGAAGATGGCTGTTTTTCTGTCTGTCTTTGTTTCTGATGAAAGCAAACATTGAGAACCTCATGCTGTGTATCAGGCTTATCTAAAATCCCTGGGACTCTTACTTATCCCAATCATTTCTTTTTATCACCCATTTCTTTCTTGTACCTATCCAAATGACTGTGTGTGCCTGTCTTTCAAGATGATGCTCAATAACAGAGGTGTCCAGGAAATAACCCATACCCATGGAAACATTGACTTTTAAATTTAGTTTTGCTTAGTGAAAAGTCTGTTTAATTTTAACTTTCTGTTGAAAAGATTCACCAAATAGCAGTGTGTGGCCGGCTGATCAGGTAGGGTTTAGGAACTGTTATAAATTATCTATTTACCAACAGAAGGATAACAATACTTACTGAAGTAACAAGTAAACTGTGTTCTAAATTTTTATTGGTATTTTTTTTTTCCTTTCTGAAAGTGCCCTGTGTATTTACTGTGGTTAGTTCCTTTCTTTAGACTGGATGGAGGGAGTTGCTAATGTAATGCTGGAAATGATAGCAGCTTTCACTTCAGATGAGAGCACACAAATTAGGAATGTAGCATAAAACCAAGCAACAGTAAGACCACAGAATAGAACTTAATGCATAATACGGTATTGCAAAAAAACTGGTCTTAAAAGTATACTGTCTCTTAATCTCGATGTGACAAAATCTGCTATCATTTCCATTTTATATGTATTTTGCACATTTCTATGTACTATTTTTAAGGTTTATTCCATTTCTCTTTTATAGATTAATCTTGGAAGCAACCAGTATCTCTTCTCAACTGTTGTAGATCCTAAAGAAATGCCTTGCTTTTGTCTCCGGCATGATGTTGATGCTCTCCTCTGGCAGCCCCACTCTGACCGACCAGACAATATGTGGGAGCATGTTGCAACTTTCAATGCTTTAGGTATGGATTGGTTGTTGCATAGCATTCCCCTCATAAGTACTGCTTGAACCTTGGTAGAACTTTAGCTTTGAAGTCAAAATCGTTATCTAATTACATGATTAATCCATCAATTCTGATCTGTTCACCAGTCTTTGTAATAAGGCTGTTCTAAAGTATGTGAGCAAGAAGGTTAAGAATATCTTAGAGTACTAAGCAAAAGAGATTGTCCTTAAATATGAACAGATTTTGAGATATTTCAGACCAAACTGAGAAGCCAAGCTGAGAGGGTTTCTTACAGTGATGGGGTTGAGCTTCACACTCCTACTGATTCCAGCTGTGGCATTATCACACTGAAAGGAAGGGTAATCAGGGTCCAGAGAAGTCTGAGCTCTTTCGGGCAAAAAAGAACCTTAAAAGACCCCATCCATAAACCCAAAGATACAAAGTTCATGAAGTGTATGTTTTTGGTACTTGTACCCCTTTGTCCCAGGGGTGGCCATGACACCCCCTCATGGCTCCTCAACCCCTCTCTGTCCTCATGCCTCTGGCTTGCTCCCCTTCTCCTCACTTGCCATATCTTCTTGTTCTTAGATCTTTTGAAAGAGAGTCTGTTCCAGGGATCCCCAGTTCTATGTTGGTATTCAGGTATCTCTACTTTGCCTTAAGGCAGGGGTTGGCAGTATTCTGGGCCAGTGTGTCAAAACCCATGCCCTGACTTGGTGTGCCAAGGGCAGACAGTGGGAGAGCCACAAGGAGCCTGATCCTTGTTGACGGTGGGTGCAAGCACGCATCTGGGAAGATAGTGGAAGGGGGCAGGGGTTGTGTTGCCCAGGCTGTTGGCAGACTGCAGACAGCTGCACTGGGGTCTAGAGCCCTGGCCTAGCTCCACGGCCAGTGGTGGCTGCACACATGCCTTAGAGCATGCAGCAGGGAAGAGGCCATGGCAGTGCAACGCTGGCCCTCCCCCCGCCATCCACCAAGAGGCACACGTGTACCTGCTGCTAGCAGCAAGTAAGCCTGGGGCTCTGCACACCTCAGTCCAGCGGCTTGTAGCCTCCCCACTGCCTGCCACAACTGACCCAGGCTCTGGGCAGGCCCCTGCTGTCTGCCGTGGAGCCCAGACTCCTTACAGTAGATAGCAGAGAGACTGCAAGCTGCTGCACTGATGTCTGTAGAGCCCCAGCCCCATAAACACTTGGTGGTGGTGGTGGGTGCACACATGTCTCTGGGCAGATGGCAGAGGAGAAGCCAGGGTTGTACTGGCTCCAGACCCCAGTGCACCAGTTACAGCCTCCCAGCTGCCTACCATGGCTGGTCCAGTCTCTGGGCAGCTGCTGCTGGCCACAGAGCCCAGGCTACTTACAGTAGCGCTTGCAGTCTCCCCGCTGCCTGCTGAAAGCAGCCCAGCCTCTGTGGTTGGCAGCAGCTGGCAAGAGCCTGAGCTGGCAGTGGTATGCCAAGCAAAATGGCCTCATTTGCATGCACTGGCACGTGTGCTGAGGGTTGTCAACCCCTACCTTACGGGCTTATAATGTGGCTCCAACTGCTTCTTCTGCTGCTCCCATACCTTACAGATGTTATCAATTATGTCAATCATCAGTCCCCTTGGGCCATGGCCTCAGTCACTGTCACTGGGCTTCCCTGCCCAGGCACTTCTCCTAGCTCAGCTACCCCCAATTGTATCTTCTAGGCTTGCCTTTTCCACCTAGGCACTTCATCTCTTGTGGATACTCTCAAGCGCAGCATACCAGGCTGTACTTCACCCCTGGGCTATTCCTGGGCACCGTGTCCTGCCCTCTTAGTTTTGTCTCCCCATCCCTGCTGGGCTTCAGGTCCCATGTCCCCAATCTCTGGGCACATTTGCCCCATATATGCTCCTCTGAGCTATGGGTCCTCTGACCCCCTTTGTCTCCAGCAGTGACCTTCAGTCTCCATAGACCCTGGCCCCGCTCCTAGGCCAGTTGAGACCACTGGCACCCCGGCTTTCCCTTTCTCTTTTCTCTCCTCCCCCTTCCCAGGCTATGGGCTCTCTAGCACTATCTCCCAGGTCTCTGTGTTCCTAGGTCTCTCTATCCTTCCTCTGTCCAGTTCACAGGACTTCCTTCTCCCCCTAGTCCCTTCCTCAAACTTCCAGAGTTGCTTACTCCAACTCAAATATTAACCAGGAACTGTATGTGTGCTCCAGGGGTGAGAGTGTGTGTGTGTAGGGGGGTGGGGAGGGGATGGCACTTTAATTAGAACAGCTCCAATAGCTTGGCAAATGAGCCTTAATTCAAGCACTCCCACTGCCATTTTGAAGTGCGGGGATGCTGATGCATGAGACATGGGAGGCTTCTGGAACACAGTAATTACATCCCAGCAGACTCAGTTAATCAAGTCTGCTCCAACACGCTGTTATTACAGCGCATCGGAGCAGCTTCCACGCTCATGTACAGGCATCCCATGAGCCTGGCTGCAGCCCTGCTGCCCATGAGCTCCTCTCTCTGTGGCTCTCAGGACTAGATTCCCTGGCCAGATCAGGCCCTGGTTTTATATGCTTCCAGCCCAGCCCCCTTCTGGTCAGGTGACTCTGATTGGCCCTGCCACACCTGCAGGCTGCTTCTCACTGTGCCTCTTTTCCTCTTAAAGTGACAGGTGTACTAAGTGCCTTGTCACAGTACTTTACCAAGCCATTCTCACAATTCATTCATCCCCTTTTTCCTAGCCAACAGGCCAAGCAGCAATGTTAATTTTTATATCATTTTTCAGAATCTCATGTTTAAGGTGAAGTCGTTTAATAAACTTCCTGTACTGCTTCCAACTTATTCTTTTCTAGCAAGAGGTAACTTCATCTTCATATACCTTGGGAATATGTATTATCTATCTGCTGGTCTGTAGGCTCAATTTATTAATAAAAACAGTTCTTACACTGAGATTTTCTTCAACCTAGTTTCTGTTTCTCAGTCTAAAAATTGTAACTATGAGATCTAATGTTTTCATCCACAGTTACGAATTGTAGGATTTCACAGCTTCATTACATTATAGGGTTTTCCATAGGTAGTCCTATCAGCTCCAAGTAATGTTTCATTTTGGAGATAGACCTCTGTTGCATGTTTGGAGACCTCTATGGACCTCATAGATTTCTTGGGAAGGAATGTACAACCCCCATGTATTGAGAAGCTGTCTGCCTCTGGCCTTCTGCCTTTGTATTGTACTTACCATATTTACTAAGACAACCCTGAATTTAAGATGACCCCCCAATAATTAGGTTTTTATATGTAGAAAATGTATAAGTCTGTTATAATTTTCCAGGAATAGAGTCTAAGTATCAGAGGGTTGTCTTGGATTCATCCCTCCCATTGCTACTGGAGGGAAAGCAGTGGCTGGGGGAGGGGGAGGGTCAGGCAGCCTCGTTACCCCTCCTGCCATGTGTAGCCACCTGCCTCTAGTGTCATATAGCCTCTCCCACTCCCCAGTCTCTGCTTCTTTCTCTCCCCCTGCCCTTACTGTCAGACACTGCTGGGATTCTGTTCCCTTCCCAGAGTACAGCAGGTAGAAGCAATAGTTCCTCCTAGCTAAGCAGCACTGCTGATTGGCTGAGCATGGACAGAGTTTCCATGTGCTCTGTGCCTGGGAAAGAATCCACCTGGAGTTGAGCTGCACCTGACAGTAAGCAAGGGGGCAGTAGGGTGGGAGGGGGAGCAGAAACTGCAGAGAGTAGGGGGGAGGTGGCTGTTGTGTGTCTGATTCTAGCCCTGACCTGGGTTCAGGACCAGTGTCAGAGCTGCAGCAGGCCCCTGAACCACTGACTGCCCTTCTCTTCCCCCCCCCCCCCCCCATCCGCTTTGTATGTGAATCTAAAACAAGGGGCATTCCCCCCCTATGCTGATTGGAGGGGGAAAAAAACTTGTCTTAAATTTGGGTAATTACCGTCTTGACCATCATTATTTAGGAATGACTTCAACAGAGGAAATAGGAGAGCAGAAGGCAAGGTTTTCTGCATTAGTGTAATCTCACAGTAGGGGAAATGGAGAAATCCTTCATTTTTATTATAGATTCTTGAGAACATCTCGCACTGTATACCCCCTCTGGGTAATGGCCTGCCTAATTCGAACTGACAGGCTTTTTCTGACTTGGGGCTTGAACTCCCCCTGCTAATTTTTTTCTTTTATGTTTACTTCTTTATTTTCTGCTATAACTCTTTCTTTTCTAATCAGTCTCTTATTTAGACTCAGTGTCAAATCAAGCTGTAAGTGTCTTTAAAATCTGACATAATGACTGTAATAGTCATGACATGGGTCAGGCATTACTCACTCTTTGTATATGCACTGCTATTTTTATAACACTTAAGAGTGAAAGACAATGTCAGTCTTTTTCCAAATCATTACTAATAAGCTTCAAGTTCCTATAACAATTCATTAATGCTGTTTTAAGAGGTAAGGTCACCAGTGTTTCTGTCATTTCAGAAATGAACAGGAAGGAAATTAAAATGCTACTCTAGGCTTTCTGTGCTTATGACAATAAGCATAACCTTTTCTTCTTACTGTACTATCATTTTACAGTCTTGTGTTGAAGTTTACACCTGTGTGTTAATCTAAGCCACCTTTTATTTGCTAGAGGACATCAACGTCATCACCTTGTTTATTTACAGCCAAACATTAGAAATATCATGTCAGCACCAGTAGTAGTACATGAGCATCTTGTGGACTAACCACAGTAGTTTTAAAACATCATAGTGCTTATTGTACCAGCTAACATAATATTACTTACCTTGTTTGCTTCTTTTCCTGTTTTCATTGCTGGTCTAACATCCATCTCACAATACAAAGAAGGTGACCAGAAAACTTTGATCATTGGAAGCCAGATCTTTCATTCTTTTTTTTTCCTGCAAGAGTCATCACTGAATGCATGAGAAGTAGGATAAAACTACTCCCTAATCCTACATCCTTATGAGAAGCCGTTTTTTGAGGTGTCCCTAACTAGTGATGTTTTTGCTGCTGATTGAAAGAGGAGGGGATTCCTTCATAATGCCTCTTCTGAAC